GGCCTGCGGAAGGTCTACACCTGCCCGTGAGTACTCACACCAACTGTGTTTTGACAACAAGTCCTCCAAATTGAACTACAAAAAATGTTGTTGGTCCGTTCCTACAGAACAACACATACAAGAGATTTGTGATCTAATGCCACTATTGACAAGACACTGTTTGTAAAACCATTGGTTAGGTTTTAGGGCTGTACCAAATATAATGCTTCACTGAAAACCTTAAATATAAAAAAATGACATTTAGTACAGCCCTATTAGGTTTGGGCACAAGAATAACTTAGTTAGGGAAATATCATGTTTGGGGTTAATGTAACCTTCTTGGTTAAGGATAGGAGACCTTTGCTATTATGGTGGTAACCACACGGTTAGCAAACAATAGCTGTCATGATTGGAAACCAACATTGACTCTAGGAAACAGGAAACAAACTTCAGTCTCCTGTGTTTTGCTAACCCATCCATCCACCCTAACCTCCTCCCTCGTTGTGGATTTTGTGGTTCCACTACTTCCTCTTATGCTCCTGACAGACAGACAGGGCTTTGTCGCTTTAAAGTACATGTGTTAGTGTTTTAAGGAGGCAGAAGAGAAGGGGATTAGCTCGAGAGTACCACAGACCAATAAGCCAATTAACATTAAGGAGCCACACGCAGTCCACGCAGCTGCATACTGTGATGTATCAAATTTCAAGAGGCATGCCATGGGTCCATAGAACAGCCCCAATTACATAATTGTGAAGGTTTGGGGGAGCGAGTGCAAGTTTGCGAAGACCGGCATAAGAATCCTGCTTTACCTTGCTTACATACAGTCAAAGTGAAAACCCACAGTAGCCTTTAATAGTAATAAAAATAAAAGCAAATTGTATTTATGCAAATAACAGACAACAAAATCAGCTTGCAAGGGGTTATAATTGTTATTTTATTGTACTTTGACAGGCACTGTCCAACTCTCAGTCAGCCGTTCACTAAAAGAGTGCTGCTGGATCAGCACATTCAGCTGATGCACAGAGTCAAAGATCCAGAGGGGAATACTGTCAACTCTGATAATGTGAAGGCTTCAACTGACAAGAAAACGGTACTGCGACACAAGTTTGTGGACATACATTTATAAGGTGGAAGTGCTCCTTGTAAAGCTTTTCACCTTACAAGTCAATGTCATGGTTCTTCTGTCATTCCTAATCGATCATTTTAATCTCCTCTACAGACCCTTAGCCCCAAAAGGAAGCCAGAAGACGATGAGGGGTTTCCAGGCTTGAACACAAGGGGCCCCGACTCACAGCCGTTGAAGAGGCTCAAGGTAAACATCCTTAAAGTTCACAAGTGTGCTGTCTGTGGCATCACCACTGAGGACATTGCGGCTTTCCATGAACACATTCCCCAGCACAAGTCTGATGGCTCGTCCTACCAGTGTCAGGAATGCGGCCTGTGCTACACCTCCCATCGCTCGCTGGCCCGACACCTCTTTATCGTCCACCGGCTGAAGGAGCCACATGGTCTCACTCGAAACAACGGACTGGGCAAGGACGACGATGAGAGTCGGAGAGAGAACCAGCTAGATGTTACGGACGAGAACAATGACGGGACACCAAATACCAAGTGCAAAGTGTGTGGAAAGACGTTTGAAACGGAGGGAAACCTGAATACTCACATGAGGACACATGGGATGGCGTTCATAAAATCTAAGAGACTGGCTGAGAAGTGAGAGGAACACACTTTGAAACCATTCCATCTAAAGCAAACACTATTGTTTTAAACATATACAGTTTGTTAAATTGTTGCAGACAACCTACAGTATCTCACTTGGCTGTAGTCATGCATATACATAATGTACATGTAGGGTACTACCATATGTATCCAGTATACACACAAAGATATGTAATAAATGTTAAGTAAATTGAATAAGATAGTTTTTTGTACACACATAGATGTTTCTAGAGGCCTTGACTAGATCTTTTTTATAGAAGAGCTTTTTTATTTTAAACAGTCTCCATTGTTGTCTTCTCACTAGGACTAGATAATGTATGAATATATTGTTGTTATGGGATTAATCCTCATACAGTCAGCAGTGTTATGAATTTTCAATGCTGCTAATGTCCAACGAATGTCTGAAAGATGAAAACAAATACATAAAGTATATAAAACCACTGGAAGCCTAAGGTTTCCCCAGTATAAATATGTTACCCCTAACTGAGGTCTTCAATTTCAAGTTGAAAGATGAATAGAAGATTAGCATAAAACATTCTTATTTTGTTTTTATTTCATGGATAACTTATATTTCTCTCTGAGCCCGCCTTGGCTTCTTCAACAAACCCTGGCTCTGGTCTCCTTCCACTACATCATGAAACTACTGATCCTAAAACAAAATCTCTGCATTCATTTTGAGCTGAAATTACATGTAATAGCAGAAGATTGCAGACAATCAGACAAAGATGAAGCTTGATTTCAGCTGTTTCAGCAAACCACCATGTCGAGTTATTATCACTGACATATCAAATACATACACAATCAAAATTATTATAAAGCAAATTTTTTATAATTATCTCAAGCATTTAACATCAGAAAAAGGAGTCTTTTAAAGACAAATATATGGGCCAAATTAGAATTTTCTTTTAAAAATATATTTTGTAAAGGATTGTGAAATTTTTTCATTCGTGTCTTAATATATATATGGCAGCTCTTTGTGATTACACTCCAAAAAAGTGTATTTACCTGAATATTTTAAATATATGATACATAGCACTTGCCTTTTATTTAACAGTGGTCTTCTTTACAGCATAGTTCATCTGTTGTTGCAGCACAATAAAAATAAAATTGTAACGACCCTGTATTTCATAAAACATTATCATTTTCTGTCTTGTTTCTTCAGTTCAGTTCTTAATGAATGTTCACGATAGGAATAACACTGGGGAAAACATCATAACTGAAGAAAAATGTCTACGAATGTAAACTTGCTGTGAAACTGAATGATTTATACAAGACAACTAGTTTAATTGAATGAACAATAACTGTTTTCCATTACTTTCTTCGTTCCAAGCATTTCCAAAATATATCATTCAGCTTTGGACAGTAGTTTTTCTATTCCGACATTAAGACTTTAACTGTTTTGCGCTGTAAAACTGCATGTGAGAAACAGTCTGTGAATTGTTTGTTGAATTGAATGTGTTTTGCTGCTGCTGCTGTTTTTAGATATTTCTGATGTTGTGTACAAAGCTGTTCTTTATGTCAATAAATAATAAAACCTGCAGGGGCAAGATCTGATGTCGACTTGCACACGAGACATCAGCTCTTCTCTAAGGAAATATGTCAGGAATCCTCTCCTGATCGTTCAAACTCATGCTTTTGCTTAGAGCTGTTTGTGTCATGGATCATTATTACTATGAAGGTTGAAGTCTAAATACTGAAATTTTGAGAAGAGAATTGATAAGATTTTATAAATACCAATGCCATTATCGGTTCTCCTTAATTCCTTGATCAATTTTCTGTGTGGAAAAAAGTAGGCAAGGCCTTGACAGATTTTCAGCATCAACGCAACTGTTGTATTATATTAGAGTCTGAACACTGTGTAGAAACAGAGTAGAAAACGGCCCGCATGTGACTCAGGTGTGCAAAAGCTCCACTGTTTTAACTGCTGTTTAATTTGGAACCGGTTCTCAACTGGAACCAGTCCTTGATTAAAGTCTCAATGGAGGTTTATACTTTGGTTTTAGTGTCTTTGTCATCTCCTTACAGATTTTGTTAATGAAATACTAAGCTGATTAGGATAGACTATCAACATGCAACTTGACAATCCTGATCTCATTTTAGCCCTCCATCCATCCATCCATCCAATCAGCTCTCACTGACCCAAAAAGGCTCTGATAAACCCACTGTACTCTACCTGGCCAGCACCAAACAGCCGACAGATCTGACACAGATAACACACGGACATAAAACGCATATTTATAGATTCACTGTTGGCTTGCTCTTTCTGAGGACATCTTTACCTCTGTGATCCATAAATCTGCTTGGAAATCACAATGGTGGTAAAAGCTCCGTACAGCTCCAGAACTTGCCTGAGAATCATCACATATTTAAGTTTTCTTCTGTATTAAAATAATCCACTGATAGTTACTGTCTGTACTTGAACTTTGCCATACCAACCTTATAAGGTAATACTATGTCAGTCAGTGTTGTGTTTGGAGCTGTTGTGTGCCTCCAATTGGCCAAAAAAATCTTGACAAGGTAGAAAAAATTAATGTCACTTTAAGCAAAGTGTTTTACATAAGTTCCCTAAACTACATGAGGGGAAACAAGACGCATCCGGTCTCTAGTGTTAAAAGTCCTGTGCTTTGTGCACCCACAATCAACCTCAACCACCTTCCACCTACATCTGTAATATAACACACCCTGGACTGCAAAACCTGCTCTTTAAGACAGAGACTCAATGTACAAATGCTTTGTTCATTGTAAAATGGCTCATGGAGATGATCTCTCTCTAGCAGGAGCAAACATTAAATCAGAATTTAGCTGCATCATGCTGAATATGTATAAATTGTTTCCCTCACATTGTGTAGGTTTTTAGGACAAGCTCACCCTCTAGCGGCCATTGCTGATTTATTCACATTACTGTCTGCAGGCGTTGCTTCTCCCTTATTTTAGCTTGAGAAAAATGGTTACAGTAAAAACTAATGTAAATGTTATAAATAAGTAAACATAAAAGTAATTGTAACTCACTAACTTGTAACTTTGTATACAAAATCAGACTGATACTACTAGGAAACATCTGCTGTTCCAGCGGTAAATGTTCCAGTGATGGGGCAACAACCTGACAATGACTTACTGCACTCCAGCCTAATTATATTGATCCTGTGTGGTGACATAATCACAGCCTCTCATCCTCATGTAACAGAATCCTGTTCACACCTGATATAGAATGCAGGTGGTGAAGACCCGTATTTGTTCAATCTATCCTGTGCAAGATGAATTTTACGCTACCTTCTTGATGATGATGTGTCCCTTCCTATGTTATTTAAACACCTTCTCCACTAACAAGATGTAGTCAGTCCTAAAAAAATGGCCCTGGGTTGGGTGGCATTCCTTCTGTTTGCAGCGTTTAGTGTAGTGCTGGAAAATATACAGGCCTTGAATGTGTCTCAAAGATGTATGGAGGATAACGATGCGTTCCTCTGGGAAATTAACCAGGACCGACCGAAGGAATATGCTGTTTCCAGTAAGTGTTGCTGACCTTTGAAAGGCTTTTTCTCACTGTTTTAAGTTGTAGAGACACTAGGGAGTCTACAGAGTCGAAACTGGGACCAGCTGTTCTTTTAGAGGGGCCAGTTATATTAAGTTGAAACTAAGCTCATTATAGCCATGGAGTGGATCAGAACCCAAGTCAAATCATGCCATCTAAAGAAAACAGCTATAAAACATTACAATAGCAGATTAGTACCTTTCGACTGTGGTGTAATGCAGCAAACAGCATTTTAACAGCTTTTAGATGAAAGACTTATGTTCACTTAAAATAAACAAAAAAAAAAAAACAATGCACATATATTTTTTCTTCAATACAAAAACATATACAGTTATATACTTAAAAGCTTAAAAAAATGTAAGTTCACATTCACATCAAAAAGTATCAAATACATGACTTACTGTGTCTTATCCATCTAGATGTAGGCCTACAAAATTGCCTACTAATAATAATAATAATAATAATAATATTGCTAACTAAACCAATGATATTTAGTATTATAATTATTAATATGAATAATATTGTTCTTTCTTATTATTTGAATGTTTAAACTCTTTATTTTACATCCTTCCTCAGTTTAAAATGTATATTAATTATTCTTTAAATGGTCTGATTTTATTTTAGCTTTCTACAACACTTTGAGATACATTTTCTATATGTAAAGTGCTATACAAATAAAGTACATCCTCATTATTAGTAGTATTATACAGAACAGCTTTACAAAAACTAAATTAATTAATTAATAAATTAATTCTCAGAAGGAAGTAGCAGAATTTCTCAAGCTTATTCATAAATTAGGCTACAAACACTATAGAGGTAAACGAACAAACTGTCAGTTAACATTAAATGGAAAATTGGGAGAGATTAGATTTTTTGCAAGCTCTATCACTGTAACTGCACACTATAATAACACAGCTAAAGTGAAGATGAAATGAAATAAAATGAGACAGACAGCGGGTGTATCTGACTTACCATGAATATGAAGTACTCCACATCCATGTCATACACTGTAATGTCCTTTACACTTGTTGCTCAGATGGTCATTAAGTTTTTTGCTAACAGAACTCCTGGTCTCCTCTTTATCTAGCTGCTAGCTAACTTGTCTGACTGTATAAAACAAGCTTGTCTCACAAAAACACGGTAAAGTTAGCTAGCAATTATTAATTATTAAAAACAAGCGAACTTTTCTTTCATTTAAGTCTCTGCTGTTTGTTGTGAGGCCAGACCATAACTGCCTTCAATATTTACTTTTAACTTTTAAAGTTTATTTAACGGAGACCTGATATTTCACAGTTTTAAAATATAAAGTCATAGTGACCACATCTGATTGTTTCATACTTAAGCTAACTAGTGTTCAAATTATATGCCACCTTCACCTATCTGCCTTTCCGTATGGGTGCAACGCCGTTTTTGGCCACATTGACTGGATTTCATAGACCGGCCGTTACAACCCATAGAGGCGCTGTTTCACTCAATTGAGGCGACTAGATGGAAAAAATCGGGAAGAAATAACGTGTGTGTTATGTGTCAATGACATTTTAAAATGTGAGTGGCAGTAACTGAAAGTGAAAACTTAATTTATGCTGCATGACATCTGGCCCTTGATTAGCCAATAGCCTGCAACAAGACACTTAACCCCTTGTTTCTCCAGAGGCGTGCAACCTCTGACATACATAGCAATTGTAATTGTAAATTGTAAATCGCTTTGGATAAAAGCTAATGACTAATTATCATTATCATTAATTATCACAACACATTGTCCCACTTATAGTCTAAAATAGTAAGTGCAAGGAGTTTGAATTTGTCTTAACTTTAAAAGGGTTAGAAAGAGTCACCAAAATTAATACTCTTGAACCAAGGAAAGTAGACAGCACCCTTGTTGTGCAATCACAATCAAGCATCAATATTAATTTGACATGTTTTATTTTAATAAGGCTCTCTTTTTATCCAAAGGGACTGTGTTGTGTTGTGTTGTGTTCTTTGCAAGTCTAAGTTGCATTGCTGTTTGGTGTGTGTGTGTGTGTGTGTGTGTGTGTGTGTGTGTGTGTGTGTGTGTGTGTGTGTGTGTGTGTGTGTGTGTGTATTTTCAGTGTATGATGCATTTGGAAAGATGGGTAGCAATGTTGAAGGAGGTAATGTCAACCGGCCTGGCTTGCTGCAGCTGTGTCGCTCTGCCCATGCTCCTACCTTCTCTGGACAGTACTGCCAGGTGTTCCTTAGACAGGTAACCAGAAAATATTTGTTTGTCATCCTGGCAGTTGGTTATAGTTGGTGATTTTGAACAAAGTGTTTTTACTACTATAGGGAACAGTCCAGTACTTTGTGGGTGTTTGTGTTCCTGACTCCTGTGAAGAAGAGGAGGTGCAAATGCTGGTGCTGTACGGTCAGTGAAAATCTGTTTTCTGGACTCATTGCAGTATCATTCCAATACTACTTTGTTTAACTTGTTTTTCACCTTTTCTAACAGGGAGACTACAGTTTAGTCAGACGTCCCTCATTCCCCCTTTACCTCCCATCCTGGTCAATCAGTCCACTCAGGAGATGATCATGACTCACTGTTTGTCTGACACCATTGCCCCTGATGCATCAGATGTCACCTGCCTGTAAGTATAAGATTGGACTTCTTTTTTTTTTACCCTACTACTGTCTTATATGCATGTGCACTTGTAACTTAACTCACTCTGTTTTTGTCTTTAAAAAAAAAGGAATATTTGAGTCTCCTAAAACAGATCATTTTTCTCTGGCAGGTTTGTGTGTTGTGTAATGGTAGCAATTCCTCTTGTGGCTACCCTGTTTACAGCTATGATGAGATGGCAACAGAAAAAAGAGGTCAAACCAACAGTAGAGTCATTCTGTTTAAACACTGGCCTCAACCTTTATGGGACCCTGAACACCAACGGCTCCTCCAGCGAAATTAATAGTAGCACTTTAGAGGAAAATGGTAAGTATAATGTCCATCATATGTGAGTACATGGTACCCAAAATTTACTTTAAACTATTCAGTTCTGCTGTGATTGGAAGATAAAATAGAGGGACGATGATAACTAAATGTTCAACACCGAAAAGTGATATACTCTACAAAAAAAAGTTATATGTGGAGTTTATATTCAGACATTGCTTAATTGAATATTGTCTCATAGACTGCACCAGGCACACGACACTGTGCTTTTCTCGAAGCTGTGTGTACCGGTACCTGCAGGTGTTCTCTCTACAAACTACCACCCAGGGCATCTTTAGCACCTCCTCATCCATCCCAGGAGGAGGCTACTCCTGCCTGAATGGCATCCGTGTTCTCAGCCTGCTGTGGATCATATGTGGACACTCTGCACAGTTCCCTGTAATAAACAACCTCGGTATGACAAGACTCACTGCCACTTGCTCACTCAATCTGCAAGACATTCACTTAATCACATATTACACTGTATTGCATCTATTACAGATAACTACAAAAACTGGAAGAAC